AATAAAAGCTTCTTGGCGTACCGCCACTCGGCCTGAGAAATGCGGCCGTCGATGCTTACGTTAATGAGATGAGCATTATCCTCAAGCATTTGACTATAGTCTCTGTCAAGCGCCCTGAGGGGCGTCTCCGACGATTCTCTGAGAAACCTGGCCAGGCCTAGGACCCACTCATCTGGACACAGTTGCTTCCAAGAGAAAGTTTTAGCCATTTGGTTGAGCTGCGTCCAGCCGTGGCCGAGATCTTCCCAAAAGGCACCCCCGAAGGCCCCCACTTCCCAGCCTTTGGTGTGATGGGGTCCCTTCCTGAGGTCTTGAGCTAGAAAGAATAAACGGTTCACGTGTCTGTCGACCCCTCCTTGATGCCTAACGTTGTGCAGGGCCCTTTGAATGGCCCGTCTCCTCCGAATAAGCCAAAATGTGTTGTCCTGACTGTAGGTCTTCCTCGGGCGAACGGGATCTTTCTTGAAACACTCTTTGGCCGCATCCAAAACAGAAGCATTGAGCTCGAGCAACTGATCATTCATATGCGTCTCCCAGGCTGGTAGCCCAAGGCTCGCTATCTGGGCTCTAAACTTGTCGCAAACTGTCTCATCCTGAAGCTTGCGTGCGTCAAAAAACAGCCCCTTGCCGCGCAGCGCGCACCGAGCCCCTGACCCAGCAAAGGCGCGAGACCACAGGGAAGTGATCATCCTGCTTCCGTATGAGATCAACCTCATGCAGAACTGCCACCTCACTCATGGCTTTGAAAAGCTGGTGGTCCGCTATGAGATAGTCAATTATGCGTTTGCTTCCCGTCTTGTTAGCTATGAAAGTGTAATCCGCTTCCTCCCCAAGGAAGGTGTTGGCTGCAACAAGCTTGTGATCATTAAGCCACTCCTTCAACCTCGCACTGCCCGCGGAGGAAGAGCCAGCCGTGCCCTTGGTTCCTGCCACCTCGCATCCTTCGTCCCCAACAAGGTGGCAACTGCCATCCATGAAGCACAACTGTGGGGGCCACTTGTTGCACACAGCGTCTATGTCTTCCCAAAAGCTGAGTTTTTCGGCGGCCGAATTGGCCGAATGAGGCACATGGGCCACTAAAACATTGAGGTTTACCCCTGGAGCGTCTATTCTGCACGCCAACAAACGCGGTGCAGCCCACAAGATTCGCACCTGCTGAGCGCTGAAGGTTATCGGCTTTCCCTTGGACATACCGTAGGGAGATCCCACGTTAATACATAGCTCGACGCCGAGCGCAAAGTCCTGGCGCCCTGCTGCAAAGCACATCCAATATCCTGCCCTCCTGGTGCCCTTTTCATTTCTACCCTCTTGTATTCCGATAGTGTGTATGCCGCTCCTATACATCTGAGTGCGGAGCGCCGCAGCACGGCGCGATCGAATTCTCCCCTTCGAGCCTCGCCGAAAAGCATGCCGCAAGCTTTGCACATTAAAAGTGGCAACACGCATGTCTACAGCAACCTGTCACTTGCTGGTCCTGATGTCGCTGGCGTGCGGCTCTCGAAAATCACCATGCCTGGGCGACAGGCCTCAGCCTGAGAGGCTCACGCACCCGTTGCCGTACTCAACATTGGGGTACGCATGATAATCCCCTCTCGCATCCAAGACCCATTCCCAAAGGCGCGAGTTTTCAATCCTAACGGTTTGGATGACTCTCCGCGGTAGCTCGGGCGCCACAGGCAGAAGCTGTCTCGCTGTGGTTTTAGCCACATTGCCTGCTAAAACATTCCACGGATGGCCTGTATGGGCCTTAACATGGGCAAGCTCAAGTGAACACTGCTTGGAGGCCAAATCCCAAACAACCTGCACAAGCTGAGCAATTTTCCTGTCTGAAGTTGGCAAGCTTTGCCCAAGCGCTGCCCGAATCGTATTAAGCGAGTCGCTGTCCAGGGTGCAGGGGTGCCCTGGGCGCTCAACTATGACTGCACACAATGTCCATATCACCGCTAGACACTCCAACGTGGTGCTGGTGGCCGAGCTCGGCTCAAGATTCATTGCACTGCTGCTCGCAAGTTCGCCTCTTAAAACTCCACCGTACATGTACCTCCCATCCCTTACCACTATTTATACCACTGCCCATCCCCCCATCCCCTCCCCTCGTTGGTAAAGCAAGCCGTCGGTAAAATAGTGGACGACGGAGATGTCGCCGATCCCGTCGTCGGGCGGAAAAGCACGCAGGGCAACAGCAGCCTCCTCCTCTAACACCCCTGTGCTCTGCAAGACTTCAAGCGTTAGTACTTCAAATATGATGCTGCTGCCTTGCAGTGCTTCTCTCAGCGGTGTCAGCGCGGGCTGACTCATGCTAAACTGGCTTTGGCTCGGGAAACTTCTGGCTATGGACCCGTGGGGCCTCACGCCGTCTGCCGTGCTCATACCCGCAGTCTGCGATGCAAGTGTCGAAGGAGACCGTCGATACCCCGATGTCTGCCCCCTGGCTGCACCATTGTCTCTGCATGGCGCAGGAAAGCCCGCGCTCTGGTCAACACGCTGCCTGAGATAGGTGTTGCAGGAAAAAGCTGAAGCTCCTAATGAGGTATTATCCCCAGACCGTTGCTTAATTATTTGACAGGATCTAGTCAGAAAATCCTCGCCCCCCAAGATTGAAACCTGACACGGCACATCCCTACCTACTTCAGTGTTGCATTCTAAGGGAGACACTTGTTCTAACTGTTTGGTCCAGCTCACCTGCTTACCCCTCAGGCGCCGCCTTTGCCCCCCACCTTGAGGACCTTGGCTGCAGGGCTGCGCGGCTGCGGCGAGTCCGCTGCCGCCGTTGCCCACGTCGCCCTTGCAGTCGCCCCCCTCGTAGCCGTCGACTTCGATGCCGTCGAAGCCGTAGATGAGCTGTTCGCGGCCGTTGGCGCACTGCTCCTCGCACTTGGACGTTCGCCCGCATGCTCTGCACAGGCCTGGTCTATCTTCTCCATCTCCTTCTGTACCTGGGAGTCCGTCATGTCGCCATCCTGCGACGTCACCAGAACAGGCCCCTCCTTGGGCTCGATCTTCGTCGCGCTCTCTTTCGGCGCCGCTGCCGTCAAGTAAGGGTCCTCCTGAGTGCCCCCTGCCCACGGCTCCGTAGGCGAGATTGGCCACGGCGCCTGTGGCATCTCGATCTCCTCCTTCTTGTGCTCCTCCATCGGCGTGGCCGCGGCCCCCGTCGGCGTGAGAAGCTTCTCCTTGTGTGCCATCCTCCACGCAGTCGGTGTGCCTTGCGCTGGTGCGAAGGACTGCGGCGAAGCTGGTGTCTTCGGCATTGCAACCGGCGTCGAGCGGCCTCCCACTGGCGTCTTGCCTTCTGGCGCGCGCGGCGCTGGTGAGTCCGCTGGAGGGGCCGCCGCCTCCCCAGCGGCCGCAGTAAACCCCGCGGCCTGCTGCTGCCTCTGCTGGTTCTGCTGCTGGCCCGAGGCGGTGTTGATCCACGAGACTAGGTTCGACATGATCTCCTCTTGCATCGCCTGCCTCTGGTCCATCATGCGCAGAAATTGTAGTAGCCCTGGATCGTGCATCTGCGGGCCCACCTGGCACTGCTGCTGCGGTGGTGCCATCTGGCCCTGCTGCTGGCCCTTCATCTGCTGGTCCATCATCTGCTGCGTCTTGCCCATCATCTGCTGATCGGTCTGCTGGCCATTCTGCTGGTCCATCTGGCCCATCTGCTGGCCCAACTGGCCATGCTGATGCTGCTGATGCTGCTGGCCGATCGCATTCTGTTGTCCACCAACCGCGTCAAACTGGGGTAGGTGTGCATGAATGTAGGGCGGCTGTTGGTGCGCCACGCACTGGTTCATCTGCTGCTGCTGCTGCTGTGGACGCTGCGATCCAGCAAATCCCCAAGCGTACTGCGGCTGCGGCCCAAAGGGGCCTGTAAGCCCTCCAGCGCCTGCAACTGTCGCTTGGGGCTGGGCCGCAGACGCCATGTGCAGGT